ATAATAATAATAATAATAATAATAATAATAATAATAATATTAATAATAATAATAATAATAATATTCTTCCATTTTCTTTCTTTCTTTTCCTTTTTTTTTTTTGATTAGATATAATTTTTGTACTATATATATGGAAATGATTTATATTTCATAAATATATTTGATAAAAATTTGAAAAAAATTAATTCTTGTTAGATGGTATAATAATCATATATATAAATCTAATAGATTTTAATTATTTTAATTATTTAATTATTTTTAATTTCAAATTTTATTATTTCTCTGAGGTGAAAAATTTCTTATCAAAAAGACTTTTCTAAACAAAAGTTTAGCATATACTTTTCCAATAAAATATTCATAATATACATAGATATATATTTCTAAGATACTCTATCACATAAGTAATTGAATAGCATTATAATAAAAGAATTAATAAAGAATTATATTCTTTAATTTGCAATTTTACTACAACTAATTTTGGACAATAAATTGTTTGCATTTATTATTTAATAATTATTTAATAATTTAATTTTGCAGGCATAAATTGTTTTTTTCAAATGAATTTGATTAGAAAATAATAAATTAATGAAAAATTTTACTAAAAGATTTTTAAGTTTTTATTGTAAAATATATTTCTGAATAAGGTATATCCATTTAATACAATTAGTTGCATAATCATTATATAGTATATATAGTATATATATTATATAATATATATATATATTATATATAAATATTCGCGATCGAAATGACATTTGCATCTACCTGCATTTAAGTATCATAATGAAAATAATCTTTCAGTTGAATTTCATTATAGTTTAACTTTTTCAGCAATGCCAAGGACCTTTTACATTTGTACAGAGAAATGATAGTTTCTATTCTCACAGAATATGTGAATCTAGTTACATTAAGTTCATCTATGTGCATTTATCTTACCTTATAATAAGGTCTTACAGATTGAACTATTAATTATAATACAGATAATCAGAAAATAAACAATTATAGTTATAATTAAAAATTATTAATATTATATATAATATATTATTATATTAAAAGTTTTACAATATTAAAATTAATAATTTTTCAATATATAAAATATTTATTAATATAATTCTATAATATAATTTAAAAAATTCATAATTTTAAAATTATTTGAATATTTTTTTTATTAATATTTGATTTTTATATTTATATTTTTATATTATTTCGATAAACTATATTCATGATTTCAAGTTTTGAATATATTCGCAACGCACCTGGTATGGTTCATAATCGTGGATTAAGTAAGAGACTTTGTGATGTAATATGTGAAATGTATTTATTTGAAGATAATCCTATACTCAATACTCAAAATATTGTATTTGTCTACAATGTTCCTTTTTATGTTAGATTATTTTGAACATTATTTTGTATTTTGTTGATATATATCAATTAATTATAAAAATATTTTTCATAAACTAATCATTTTAATGATTATTTATATTGCATTTTTCATTATAAGAATAATATTAACAAAATTTATTATTATTTTATTATCTATTATTATTTTTGTTATCTTTATTATTATTAATTTATTATTATTAATTTAAGAAATTATTTAAAAAGTAGTAAAAGTAGAATATTAATATAATTTTAAAGATTCTGGAAGACAAAATTATTTATCAATTATTTTATATATATTATGTATTCTATTTAATTTTTTTAATTCATAACAGATATGAATCTTTTTATGTCTCTAGATATATATATATATATAATAAATATATATGTATATAAATTAATAAAAATCACATCTATAGAAAAAAATTTATTTTTCTCAAAAATAAAAATAAATTTCCATCAAAATATCAAAAAAAATTTTACAAAATAAATTACAATGTATTTCATACATAAAAAAAAATTGAATAATGAAATTGATAAATTTTTTAATTATTTCAAATTTAGTATTAATTTCAATAATTAAAAAAGATAAAAAAGATAAAAAATCTAATATTTAATTTCAATCAATATTTTAAAAAATCGTAAGTATTATGTCGCCAAAAATGAATCTTTTGTAATTCTTTTTTTATTTTGCTGAAGAAGAAATGTGGAACAACCACTTACAAGATGTTAGCGATTTCGTAACTTGGATGATCCGCAGAAACTCATTGGTACAAAAACGTAGAAACCTGGCTATCAGTTACGAATAACCAAATGTGAAAGCCGAATGCAAAATGATCAATTTTTACCCCCATTATTCGTTTGGTCAACGAAGCCTCGAAGCGTCATAAGTACACGCGGCTGAGCGTCCTTGTTAATTGTGACATTTGCTTTTCTCGGTGTTAAGAAGAGTTGAGGAAAGTTAGTGACGTAACTACCGGTGACCTTGCCATTTCAGAAGATACAGAAGATGCCTCCGGCTATCGCGTCTCGAGGCATCTTCTCTTCTTCCCTTCACTTCTTTTCCCTTTCCTTTTCTTCCGTGGTTGTTTCAATATCAAAATTTATAATTCTATCTTCTGTTGGATTCGAAAAATAAAAATATAATGGTTCCATTCATAATTCATTTGGAAGAGTTGCCATTTGTGAATAAAATGTTTATTGAAATAAATTTTAAAATCTTAAATCATAAATATGAAAATTTATATGATTGTATTTTTCTTTCATACTTGATTTTCCTTATCTTACATATTTATATATATATAAATTATTATATAATAATGGTGTTTTTTTTTTAAAGATACATTATACATTATACATTAATTTGATAATTATTTTTAAATTTATTTATTTAAAATCAAGTAATTTTCAAGTAGTTTATTTGAGCAAATGGTAAATTTATTTTATTCAATCTCTCTCAATGAAATTATATTTATTTTACATTTATTTCCCCATTATTTCAATCAAAATTAAGTGAGGAAGAGAGAAGACTTTTCAATCAATGTTATGTAATCCAATAAATAGAATTAAGATTCCAAGTGATTTGAAATTTTGCTATCATTGTAAATGATTAATGTTCAAAGAATTTTTTTTTAGCTAAACACAAATGTATTTGCTTGTACTGATATCTACATAAAAATACCATTAACATGTTTTTAATTCATAAGTAATTCACAAAGGGGATTTTCGTGTAATAAATTAATAAAATTAATATCTTTTTTTTTAATATAAATACAATGTACAACACATTTGAAAAATATATTCTTGAAAAATATGAAAAATAATTTACAATTTCATTTTCTGAATAAATAATTATTTTAAGTTTATTTTTAAGATTTTGCAACTTTTACATTTTATTGATTTTTTTTAAAAGTAATTTTTATTTTTACATTTTTATGTGATATTAAAAAAATAAAACTGTTAAAATGATGGAGCTCATTATCTTGCTTATAAATAAATATATGTATTAATGTCTTTGATTTTATTTTATTTTAATTTATTTGATATTTTTAAGAATATTTTTAAATATTATTCATAATTTTTATGATAAATTTATTATAAAACAAGATAGTTTTCTGCTAAATTTTAAAACATAAATTTCTTTTATTTAATTGTCAATTGAAAATCTATTTAATTTATAGAATCATAAAACATTTCAAAATATATAATTTAAAACGAATATGATTATTATATATATATACGAATTGAATTATATGAATATTAATAAACGTTTTATTTAATTAACTAGTACGTAACAAATTTAATGAGGTTAACTATCATTTTCATTTATATATTCGAACTTTTTAATTACTTTCTATCTGAAAATTATTTCAAATTGCAAAATGGTTTATAACAAAGTAGATAAATTCAAAGTAATTTGCACTTTATGTACATATGTATTTTAATAAGACTTGTACGAGATATACATTATTTTCTACGCATTATGTTTTTTACACATATGCACACATACACATTATTAGCATTGTCGACTTGTAAAATATATAGAAAAATTGGAGGACTTAATTTTACTAGTAGTTGAAGAGAACGTGGTGATAATTACACAGTTAATTTGTTTAGCCGCGAATCATGGTAAAAAATCGCGTGAAATTGCAAAAATGTCAACGAGCCAGTGTTGTTTCGTTTGCTTTTATGCGATATCAGCACATGCCGACAATATGGTCGTGCAGATGCGCAATTACATCACTATAATCTTTGTAAACCGACAATTACATGAATAACATGAATAGATATTGAGAATGAACATTTCATCTGCTTTCATCGGTTTGTTTATTAAGTTTGTTAAGTTTAGTATAATAGAAAAAACAGATGAAGAAGTCTTGTTTAACGGATATAATAAAATTTTTTTTCTAACCTAGAAATAAAAAACTAATGGTTAGTATTATGTATTTATGTACTTATTTATTCATATTTGTTAGTTATTAAAGAAAATTGAGAAAATTGGTTGATATTATAATTATATATTATATATAATAATAATTTTGAAATATGTATATAAATAAAATATAGTGTATTTATTTGATAATAAAAATGATAAATTATTAAAAATTTTTGAAAATTTAAAATTGTTATAATAATAATATAATTTTATTGGATGATATATATGACAATGAACTTGGGTAAAAAAACAAAAAAGAAGAATAAAATTAATTAAATTACAAAGTGGTAAAAGTAAAAATTATGATTAAATGCGTAAAATAAAAAATAATAATTTTAAGATCTATAAAGAATATTTTTAGAATCTCATCCTAAGTTTATCGATAATAGTTTTTTTATAAATGAGAAATGTAAATTTTTTTATGAAGACAGGATTGCATAATTTATAGCTTTTGTATTTTTTCCTCGTGCGATAAAATATTGTTATTAAAAGACCTGGAGACAAGTTCATCGATTTCTTTCTTCACATATTTTATTTTTTCATATTTTTTTATCGCTATTCAATTCAAGATAAGAAGAAATATTAATAATTTTTAAAAATATTTATTATTTAAAAATAATAATATTATTTAGTAATATTAATATGTTAAAATATGTTTATTTTTTTGAAGATATCATAAATATCAATAATATCTGATGTTGCACATTTTTCAATTGATTATTTTTTAATATATAAATGACATACAAAAGAAAGAGCGAAGAATTTTCCATAATCGCATAAAAGGAAATGATGCATTCATCGACTTGTAAGTTACTATACTTAATAATGTGCATTTATCCTTTCTCTTTAAATGATGCAATAACCAATCTTTCTTTTCTATGATGTAACTCTTGTAAAATTTTTTAAACGATTATAAATTTTATCAGGAAACAATGAAAAGAGTAATGATTTTAATGAATATACAAGTTTTACAGAGAGTTTTCTATATATAATATATATAGAATAATAATTGCAAACATAATAATAAAAGATGTTAAATAAACAAAAAAAATTAAAGATTTTATTTATAAAATTAAAGATTATCATAATATAAATCATTTCTTTCTTTATTTATTACTCATATAACAATTTAAATAAGAAAACATTAATCTCTTTGTATTGTTTATTGGAAACAAAAATTAAATTAACATAAAATTTTAATATAATTTCTGAAAAATTAAACATTTTGTTTTAATGCTCTATTTAACGATTCTAATTTTTACAGTTTCTGCTTTTATATATATTATATATATAATTTTATAAAATTTTGCAGAGATCCAATAGTAAAAAAGGAATTCCCAATTTCATCAGGTTTGTATTAAATTCTTCTATCACTCTTTTTCATCTTTCAATCGCGTAACAAACGTTACAGCAAAGGTCGCACAGCTACATCTATAAGTATCTAAGAGGTAACGAGGAGTCATTCTGATGCAATAGAGAGACAACGCGAGTCACGATCGGTCAAGAGGATTTCCTATTGAAATACCGTTGATGATGAATTGATGATTAGATGAAATTGCATTTCCGCAACTATCATTTTTTTCTGACCGCGATACCTTATCTCCATCAATAAGAAAAATTAGCTATAAGTTAGCTATTACTCATCCAAAAATATTGAATGAAACAGATGAGATCGAAGAATGTGAAATAAAAGTCAATAGAAGATAAAAAAATATGTGATGATAATTTTTTGTGATTCTTGATTATTTTACCTTGACCAAGATATAGCTTTCTCTGTACATTTTTATTATCTTTGCAATAATAGGAAGGATTCTGTACTTGAACTAGAGAAAGTAAAATGTACACATATATTTAAAAATATTTAAAATTTTTTGAAAATAAAGATTTTCATATTTTTAAATGCTGAATTAAAGTTAAAAGTAAATTATTTAATATGTAATAATAATGCATAATATAATATATTAAAAGTCATCTTTAAGATACAAAAAACTTTTTTAGTTTAACTGAAGTTAAACTAAATAATTTGAAGAGGGCCAATTAAATATAATATCCTTTTTAAAAATTTTTTTTTATGTAAAATAAAATTCGTTGACATATGTAGTTAAATATAGTGTAATTATAAATATTCTATTTTTCTAAGTATAATTAATTTTTTATCATTGTTAGTATAATTATGAATAATATTTTCATAGATTTGTTATAATATAATAGTAATAAGAATTAATTAAGAATTAATTAAGAATAAAAAATTAACTAAAAATTAATAATTAATAGTAATAAGAAATTTATTATTATTATTAAATTAATAATATTAATTAATTATATTATAAGAAAAATACTTGCATAATTTTATATATATGTAATTATGTTATATATCATTATAGTTAAACAAGTACAAATTACAAATAATTTCAGTTTTATTATAATATCATGAGATCTCATCATATAATTTTTTATCAATTAATATTATATATATATATATAAAAATAAAATATTTAAAATAATTCATATTCATTATTATTATATTTTTTAAAAATAAAAATTAAACAATCTTAAAATAATATTAATTGGAAAATTATAACGTATTCATTAATAGCAAAAATAATTAATTAACATAATTTTATGATTATTTGATTATTTCCAATAAATTTTAATAATCTACAGCAATATTTGATTGGCTAATTATGGAGAAAATTATAGCTTGAATCGATTCTACAAACAAGTTATAAGCAAGAGGAGGTGGAGAAATAGGAGGAGCGATTAATTTTTGCGCTTAATCGAAACGCCTATCAGCATTGTGGATGATGATGTTATGTGAATGGAACGAATTACATATTGTTTTTCTTGGTGATATCATATGCTTCAGATTCGAATATAATTTATCTAATAACCTTCGAATAAATTGCCAATAAGGAAACTATTTCGATGACAATGATTATAGTAGTAGATTTAATAATAATTTCTACAGATATGCATTTAATGAAGTAAATATTAATAAGGAAAATATTTTATTCATCTAATGAATTTTATGATATAAATAATACAACATATTAATTACTTGATAATATTTTTAATTAATTTAAATTCTTGTTTGAAAAATATATTGTAAAGAAATATGTACAAGATTCTAAAATAATATTAATATCATAATATTTTATTGTTACAAATATTGATAACTAATTAATTGATTTAATTTGTTTTTATATATTTTTTTACATATTTCTTTAAATATAAAGTCGATACTAAACAAATAACATACAAATGTTCAATCAATTCAATTTTATAGTATTCTTCGGTTTCCTTTGAACTTTTCGTTCGTTAATACTTCGCAAGAAACCTGTAGAATCCTTCACTGGTAATTATCTTATCGTAAAACGTTGTTCGACCGACAACATTCAAAAGATTCCCAATGAATTACGAGAATCATAATGCAACGATACGTGCGCATTTACGGCGCATAGGTGATTCGACCTCGTCATCTTGCCGTAACTCGCACGATTGTTCTAACGTTGACACCCGCTAAATAAATCAATCGTGTTCGCAAGAAGAAGGATGCTCGAAGGATTAGAGAAGAACGGACTAGAGTTGAAACGGAAAGTTCATGCCGCCTTGTGAATCACGATATTAGCAAGATATTGTTGAAATCATTTAAGCCAACTATTTCGATGAACCAATATCTAATATTGGCTCTTTATTTTTCGAAAGAAGTTATGCGTTTCTTGTATAATATAATATGAATTTAAAGATAGTATAAAAATATCTTATCACTTAAAAAAAAATGTGAGTATACTAATATAAAATTGATCATAATCTTATCTTTTTCAAAATTATTTGTTTTATTTTTTTTTAAATAACCAATCTTTTTTTTTTAGTTTTTAAAAATTTTTAGTTTAATTAAAAGGAAGATTCCCCTACAATATCTGAATTCTCTTCTACAATTCTTTTCTCTTCTAATTAATAATAGTGAATTAATAAGTGAAAAAATATAGATATTATTATAATTTTACATATGAAAGAAATAGATTAATTAAATAATTTAGAATTTATAAAATTTCATTTATTTTTATTACAAAATTTAATTGCTAATATAAGATAATTTATTAATATTGATAACATGTAACTTATGATTTTTATTATTAATTTTACATATTAATTTTATTAATAGTAATAATTTAATTACGCAGAAGTGCAAGAATCTTTTTCAAATAAATAATTAAAAATTTAGTTTATCTAGTTGATATAGATGATTCATAATTTATGTAAATCATTAATCGCAATAATCTTCTTGATTAATTGCAATAATCAAAAGAAAAAACAGAAATAAATGATTCAAGAGAGATTTTATTAAACTGAGTAAGATAATGCCCGCTGGTATTTGAATCTTATTGTGAAATTATATAATACAATAACTGGAAGAAGATATAAAGAGAGAAAGTGTATTAAATAGCTAATTACAAAGCCAATGCATTTCAGCATTAATTGAATAACAGTGAAATTTCGTATTTGAATTTTTTTTCATGGTCACAATGTTCACATAATTGAAGAAAGAAAAGGAAGTTGAACTCGTGATTGTTCTCTCTCTGGATGGTATCGATAATTTATCTAGCACGAATGAAATAAATCGATCGATACAAGTTTTATGTACAATGGATGATTCACGACTGCGAGGCTAGACGACACTTTCGAGGTAAAAGGGTAGATTTGTATCTAACCGTCTTGCTCTTTTTTCTATTTAATCCAGAATATTGTTAAAGCCTCACGAATGCATAATACATTTCGTGCTTATGATATAAAATATCTTTGAATTGATGAAATTCAGATTAGAAAGAAGATGAATTTAATATGAATATAATGAATTTAATAAGATTTTAAGATTTTAAAAAATAATTATTTTAGAATTTATTGCTATAAATATTGCTGTATTTCGTGATTACGAATACAGATTTCATATACCTCTGTCTATAATATGCATATTATATATAATATATAAATTTTTAGTTTATTATATTTAGTATATTTTGTAGTTTATTATTTTTCGATTATTAAACTATAAGATTTAGAATCTAAATGGATTATTGCGATAATTTATCATATATAAAATAAACAAGAATGATTATTGATGATCTTTTTCAAATTTCAAAGTAAAGCGAATTGAAGACATATCTATCAAAGACATCAAGTTGCATTTGAACGGTGATATTATGATGATGATGCAGTTTTTGATCCCAGAAACCATTAACTCATCTAAATGATTTAATGAATGTGATTAATGTATGCTATTAAATACATTAATGTTATTAAATGTTTTGAAGTACATGTATTATCAATGCTTTTGATTTATTTATGAGCATTAAATTTCATACTTAAATTCACATAATAATAAATGATATTAATCCTAACATATTTTTTTCGTTTATTCCAAATTTCATTTTAATAATTTTTTCACATTAATGGTCTTTAACTAACAATAAATTATTAACTCCTCCATTCTAATGTTTATAATGTATTATTCATATATTAATTTCAAATACTATTATAATACTTATAATAATAAAAAACTTGATATTAAATATTTAATTAAAAAATTTCGATTCTTATATTTATATTTCATATTCTTATTTTATTGGTATTTCATATTTAATTAATTCAAAATTGCATCATTAGGAACTATATAAGTTATTTTCTTTTAAATATTTTTTTAAATTTCAACAAGACTATAATCCAAAATTATATGATAATATTCTTCTCATACCAAAGATATTTATTTCTATAAAAGTATCTATTTTATATTTATTTTAAAGTTCAGTACTTTAAAGTTTTATTTGTTTAACATCGTTTTATTATTGAAGTTTGAAATTAAAAATAAAAATTCATTTCATATCTTTATTCAAAAAGAAGATTTGCACATTCATACCTCTTGTATAAGAGGGACAGAAACCACATTATCCAATTTATCATTCCAATGTCTATCATCCACAAAGAGTAATCCCTGACATTTTTGAAACACCCTTGTAACCTCGAGCACCACTATTAACGGAGTATTAATTCACCTGTGTCTCGATTCCGTAGCCACCATTAAAAATCCACTATGTAGACGCAATAGTACTTGTATATCGGTGGAGGTTTGTCTGCCGACAGTATGGTGGCATTTAACCGATCCATGCCATCGTGTTCGCCAGTTCTATTACGCAACTAATGCCTTTAAGCCGGCGGCAACGATTGTGACGACGACGTCGACGACAACGAAGATGACAACAGCAACATCGACCTCATGTGGTTCAGCTTAGATTCTTGCGAAATTTTTAATTCTCATGTGGATTTCTCATTACAGATGGAATTAAGTTCAATATATATTTACAAATTCCATTCAATTTTAATAAGGTATTTAATTCTATTGTTATTTCTTGTTGTAAACTTCATATTATTTTAATATTACTTTATATTATTTTATCAATTTTTTTTCAATATCTTTTTTTTTTTCAATAGCATCAATGATCAGTATATTATTGAATATGATTCAATTTATAAGGTAATTATTTCTGATAATTCTCTATGAAGTATATACTGTGAATTTTTATGTATAAAAATATACTACTATATTAAGTAGCTAATTAATGAGATAATATTATCTAAAAAATGATAAATCGCCTTGTCATATTTTTAAGAGAATGATTATGAACATAATTTTAAAATTTATAAATTATTTATAAAGTGCTCGGCTGTGTCTTCATCTTTGGTGTGAGTGAATTTTAAGTGAAGTTTGGTTGATATTTTTTTAATAGAATTATATCAATTTGTGATATAAATTGTACAAGAAAATGGAAATAAAGTGTATATTAGGATATATTAATTAATGATATATTAATTAATGGTAATTTAATTATTCAGAATAGTATTTTCTATATGTTATGTTTTCATAATATTTTAAATGTATATATTACAAATTGATATTTTTATTATTATATTAATTCTTAATGTGAATTTTTAAAATAATAAGTATTTTTTGTGTTTGTAAATTTAAAGAATAAAAATTCAGAAATAAAGTGTAATTTACGTGTAAAGTCAATCTAATCGATATATTACAGAATAAAAACTTTCTAGATTGGACTTTCTAAAAAATATGCCAGATTCTCAGAAAATTCTCGAATGGCAAGTCCATAGAAATTCTTCCCAAGCTTTTTTTGAAATTGTTCGAACAATATGTTTAATATTAAAATGAAATTATAATATTGATATTTTTGTATTTTATCTTTTATTGTATAAGAATAATTATAACTTTTTTTTTTAATAGATTTTAATGAAATTTTTTCGACTATTTTTCTTGCAACTCATAATTGCCTGAAGAATTCTAAATATTTAAAACATTTAAAATTAACTTGAGAATCACTTAATTATTATTATTATTACAAATCGAAAATAAGATTTAATAATATATCATTTTACTAATATTTTTATTACAAATATCGAATGTTTTTGTTTAGGAATACATCATTCTGTTCATCAGAAACTTTATATCTTTCTGTCATTTATCCGAGCGCTCAAATAGACACAGAATAGAAATAGGAAGACGATAAGTTCAGTCATCATAACTCAACACTGATATTCATCGCGACAATCATCTCGTTAGAATTATTTATACAAGCAAACGTAACATTTGAACGCTTTACATCTGTTACATGAAACGAGAGATTACTTGGCAAGATAGTGGTGATAGATTCAAGTCAGTATCCCGGTATTTCGGATTGTACAAAATAATTGACTTCATTTTTGGTTTCAATGATTTCTGACATTGTGTTTCTGAATGTATTGAATAGTTTTAAAAAGAGAAGATTTTCCAAGTTTAAATATATAAAAATTAACTTTTAATCATGATTTTTAATGATGAAAAGTTAAGTAAGTTAAGTAATAAATTAGTAAGTTTTTATAACATTAACAATTTCAACTTCTGTGAAAGAAGAATTTTAATTTTTAAAATATAAAAAACTAATTAAAAAGTTTTAATTTAAAAATTTTTTTGAAGAATTTTGATATAAAAATAATTTTTAATTTAATTATTATAATTAGTCCTTGACTTTTGGATACAAAATATGTTAATAAAAATAAAGATATTTTAACTAGAAAAGTTTTAATATATATTTAATTTAATTATGAAATTATATGAATTTTAATTATGATCTTTATAAAATAATTTTTGATAAAATATATATTGCATATTTGTAAGATTGTTTGATCTTAAAAAAATAGAAATGATGAATGATTAAAAAAGAGATATATTTATTTATTTTAATTTTACAGTTGATTTATTTGAATCTTCACATGAGTAACATATCTTTAATTCTTAATATTTACAAAAATATTAAAACCAAAATAAAAAAAATTGTGTGATTGATTTTTGGAAATACTTTTTATTGAAGATGAGAAAATATATGATGAAATCATTAAAAGAAAGTTGTTTCTAATGAATTTTATCGTATAATGTGATATTTCACATTTGTAGTATCTAAAAGTCAAGTACTACTGAATTTACATCATCGATTCGACCAAAAAGCTTATGCAATCAATTTTTGTTTATTGATAATATGACTATTATTAACTATGATTTACTTTAATTAATTTTAATACATTTCTTTCTGAAATAGAATATATTCTATATTTTTCTAAAAGTTTAAATAATAAAATTTATATTTTTAATTACAGATTTTTTTTATAATACAAAATTTTACATTTTATTTTCAGATAACAATTAAATATATCATTAATTTTGACAAAAATTAAAATTTTGTTAGTCAAAATTATAAACGTTTTTGTTCCATGAGCAAATTCTCCAATAATCGATCGAAGTTTTTGCCTTTTCCAAAGAAGATTCTCGTCGTGTACAATCGATTATACAATATCATCGCGCTTCACGATGAGCCGCAACAAAAAGGAAAAAGTCACGACTCGTGCGCCAATGCACAAGCGCGCAAGAACTCAACTGATTATCTAATATCGTGCTACCTAACTATATATTCACCATGAAGAGGATCTTCTGAATGGAGAAATAACTTAACGAAACCTGATCAACAGAAATTTCACTGAAAGTATGAATTCAGAATAAAATTGAAAACAAAAGTTGATGCAGTTGATTTTGATGCCATTTTTCTAATCTTCTATATCACAATCGAAAAATCATGCATTTGTATACGAATACATTCTTGCTTTTGTATTTTTATTGTAAAAAAAAAAAATTAATATTTATTAATATAATGGTAATATAATAGACAAAGTAAGATAGTAATGATAATAATATAAATAACAACACTTGATATAATTTATTATATTTTTAGAAAATATAAAATTAATGATTTTTTGGAATTAGAAAATGTAACTTTCAAATAAGACATCAAAAATTTTATAAAAAATGAATAAGATATCTAAATAATATAATCATAAATCAATTATACGTAATTTCATCTAGGGATAAACATGTTATCCACTGATAAATTTTGTTTTTACATTTTTACCATAATTTTACGACTTAAAAAAGATATTTAATAATTTAATAAACATTTGATAATTTGATAAATATTAATTGAATATTTTTAAAATTAATATTTCACTCTTTTAAATCATGATATTATAAATATTATTTATGTAAGAATATAGATATTAAGTAGACATATTTTAAGGATATATAGATTATATACAAGTTACATACAAGTTATATATTTCTATTATCTATCTATATTTCTGCTTGATACTAGTATGATATAATGATAATTTGATTTCTCATTGTTTAGTATAAAATATATATGTATTATATATTATAAAATTTCTCATAAATTTAGTGATATATTAAGAACATCATACATAAACATAATTACACAGAAATTTTAAAATGAACTTCAATTATCTTCGATTATTATTTATTATTATTATTTATCATTTTTTGCAGCAAACTCCAGGAAAAAAAATTAAGAAAAAAAAAAGACACAAAGAATATAGATCTTCTTGAGCCCAAGACTCATCTTCTTTCCTTTCCACTTTTACCAATTCTTCTTCTTCTGCACCGATTGCAGAAGAAGATGTATCGATGCCTTACTCTTTCAGACATTAGCATAAGCAGCCTTCGTCGTTATGTAATATATCCACTGACTTTCTTTTCGAACTTCTACGCATATTTTTTTTCTTCTTCCATCCCTTCGTTTCTTTTTTTCTACAGAGAGAAAATAGAGAATGCTATTGTTTTGTTCTTCTCATAATCCACATGAAAAGACATAGATATCTTAGAACAAGGTTGCTTTGACGCAATCATTCTTTTCGAAGAAACGTTTCCTTGCGTTCTTTATTTTTTATCCTCTTGGGTTTGAATATATTTGCAAGATTTAAAAACTAGTATCGTTCGTGAAAACGGAATAGATGTCACTAAACGAAGAATCTCATAAAATGATTAACATCATGATTACGCTTGAAAATAAAAATAATAATTTCACAAGATAATTATCTAATAACGATTTGTTGTTATAAAATTGAAGTTCCATGCGAATTTTTTTTAGATTTCTAAATCAAGCAAAATATGTGATAATAAATAATAACTTAAAATAGCGAAATAACATCGTAAGAATATAATAATTGTTATTTTTATAAACAATTTTTCATAATATTACGAATATTAATATAATATTATCAAAACATAAAATATTTTTATAACATTAAATATTTTTTAATTTATAAAATGTAATATAAAATATTATATACATGTAATATAAAAATATTTGTTTTTAGCTAAATAGTTTGACTAGTCATAAAGAGTACTAAGCTATATTAATTTTCATATTTTCATTATTAAATTAAAAGTTATTGAATATAAGTTATTAAATATAAATAATAAATTCTCATTTAATAACAATTTATTTTTTAGAAATATATATTATTTTTAAAAATACGCATAATAAATTATTTAACATAAAAAAATAATACATATAATATTTACTTTAAATTACATTTATACATTCTTTAAATAATTTTTCAAGTAAAATCATTAAAAGAATAAACAACATTACAGAAAAATATTGCAATAAAAATATGCGCAAAATTTTCAACATAGAAATAAATAAAGTTATTCTATGCATCTTAGAATGATGTAATTGTATCATAAAAATAAAATTATTTTGCTTTTGATTGGTAGCGTTTGTTAGGTGAAACCGAACGTGACTTTTGCTGAAGATCAAGATTCACCTTTTGATGAAATGAAATTGCGTGACCTCCGAATATTATGGCTTCGATCGACGATAAATTTATAAAAAATGTAAACGACGGTGAAGATCCATGTGTTGTAATGACAAGCTAAATCCAATTACGAATGAATTATGCCAATACATCGAAGCTCTCAACCACTTTTTACTAATACTTCCATTAAGAAGAGCTTCGGTCGATTGTGTAACACATAACGAGACTTTTGGAATATCGATGCCGAAGATGTAACAACCCGCTATTTCTTCCAATCCATGATTATATCCAATTTTACGCATTTTATGTACTTATTTTTAAGGTTATGCAGTTATGGTTACGTATTTTTAAATTACGTGGTATAATCGAGAATTTTTTTGGAAAATAGGTTTATAGATCTGTGGCATTTTTTTTATAAGTAAATCATTTTTAATCACTATATATCTAATATATATATTGTGTTTTTATTACAATTATTAATATTGATTCTCCTTTTCTTTCTAATTAAATTTAAAATTTCAAAAAAATTCACTCAATTTTTATATCTTTGAGATTCACTTATTATATTTATTTCATAGATTCTTTTTGAAAAATTTATTGCAGGAAAATAATATTTTGAATGATTCAAAAAATTAAAAACAATTAAGCAAATTTACAATATTTTTTAATATTATTAATTCTATTAATTCTAGGATATAGTATTTTTTTTTTTTCTTTGCAAATATTTTTTAGAAATATCTACCTTATCAAAGTGACACTTTAATTTATTTCTCGACATTTTACTTGGAATAATCATTGATTGCATTCATAAATTCATATTCCTTCCTGAATAATCATCTTCTTTATTCAACTTCCCTTAAACTGCGATACCAAATCCTATACGTCTTCTGTAAGGATTTTCTGACGACGATTCCGTCCATTGTTCCATCCAAGTTTGGTAAGACAGGGATCCGTATGAGATTACAAGCACAGTGAAATCACGTGCGATTTTCGCTCCTGAGCCGCTCTTCCTTGAATTCTTGCCTGACATTCACCGCCTCTTCCTTTGTCGGTCATCGTTCTACCACCGCCAACCGGCCAATGCCACTCGATGATTTCGACATCTTTACTGAAGAATTTTGGAAGCCTGCCTCCCTGGAAGGGGTAAAATTCGTTTGAAAATCCGGCTATATAACGGTCCCGTGGATCAAGATCGAATCAGTATTGTGATCTAGCTCATCTCACAACACTTGTATCATCTTCGACAATCCAAAGAAGTTCCATACCAAAATAACCGATCATGAAACTGGTGCGTGTTTTCTTCGATTAATAATTCGACATATCGGATGTCAAAAGTATTTACCATTGTTTAATTGTTAAATTCGTTATTCCTTCTTCTCTTTTTTTCTACGGTTTAGAAAAGAAAAAGATGATATCGAAATTTCGTTTCTTTCCATTGGTGAATCTTCATCCTCGAAATGGAAAAAATAAAATAATTGTTCGTAAGAGATCGCCGATTATAAAACGCTTACAAACGTGTAATTAAAGCTCACAGTATTGTTATGTACTATTAACAACGATACTGCAATTACACATATTATCGTTCGTTCCCTTGTCTATTGTCGAGATGCAAATATGTTTTTAGAACTATTTTAAATAAATCATTAGTAATGGATCTTGCATAACCATCTTGTAAAACACCGCGAAAATTCACATACTTGCGACTGGAAAACAGTGGCGACTTGTATGAAATAAAATTAAAGACATATTTAAAATAAAGACATATTTAAAATGAGTTACTCTAGCGTTTCATATCATTTAATAATATTATATATTGATTACTAAATTAATATTTAGCAAATAAATTTTATTATGTATATTACATTGCACAAATGAATTTATTAATGAAACAATTATTAAAACAATTCTATTTTTAGAATTAGGTCTCATTATAGCATACCTACGTATTTTTTGAATCAATGAACTTCTTCATTTTATTGAATGAAACATACAACAAAACATTCGTTTGCATAATTTTATTCAAGTTCAAGTGCTAATTGATTCACTTTTTTTTTGTTACAGTTCATTGCTTTCGCTCTTGTCGTTGTCGTTGTCTATGCAGCACCTCAAGGACGTCAAGAAGAAGTAGTACTCGTCAAAGAAACACCCTCAGATAATATTGGCTTAGGTGGCTATAGATATGCCTACGAACTTTCCAACGGTCAATCTCATCAGGAAGTAGCGGAATTAGTTAACGAAGGAACTGAAAATGAAGCTTTAACTGTTCGAGGCAGTTATAGTTGGGTGGAACCACAAAGTAATACAGTATATACTGTAAACTACGTGGCTGACGAGAATGGTTTCCATCCTGTGGGTGAACATCTCCCTGCTTAATTGTACTATTTTTAGTTTTAAATAAATTTTATAAATTTCTTTAATTAAGTGTTTCTTTGGTTTTATATTTCTTTTCCTTTGATTATTTATTTATTTCTTTCTTTGTTCAAAGAAATGTGTATTAAGAGTTTATTTTTAACGAAAAATAATTCTCGAGAGTAATTCTCAAAAATTTTATTCTCAAATGTATTAATATATCATTAGTTATAAATCTTATCTATTACCATTATTCCTACTAAAATAGAGAAAGCCAGATAATGCAACAATTTTTTATCGAAAATATCTATTAATAAATTGACAAATAATTAATGATAATTAATGTTATGTATTTTTGGATCATATTTTATTATAATATTTATCGATATAATATTTATCTCTGCAATTCTGATAGAATAGATAGTATACAGTTATTTACATTAATATTTGAATATTATATTGTCTGCGAGTTTATTACTTTGAATATAAAAGAATTATTTAAATTATACATCCAGTTTATTATAAAACATAAATTGTTTATTGAAATATTTATTTTTGAAAATTTATTTCAAAAATAATATTTTCAATATCTCAATTATATTTATTTATATATTATTTATATTATATAATTATATATTATTTATAATAAATTATAAACAAAATAATATTATATTTTCATTCTCTATTAATATTTAAATAATGCATTAATAATATTAAATTAATTCTCCGCAAAGTACATGATTCTATTTAAATTAATGTTCTGAGTATCAATATCGATTCGAAAATTAATAAATTAATAAATTAATAAAATTTTTTTATAAATTGATGGTATTGAAAATCTTATTGCAAATCTTTAATTTTCTATAATTTCTAGATGATTGAAATTTTTATTATTTGAAGATTGATTACTATTTAAAGTTTTGAAAATTTTATTATATTGTTAAAAATATTTTGTGTAACTTAATTGTAAGTTAAGTTTAGAATAATATCTATTTTGAAAAAATATATAAAATTTTTTATATAAATTATTTACAATAAGCTTTATTAAATATACTTCTCTTCTCTTAAAATATAATATTTTACTAATTACAGAACTAAAACAATTTACAAATTTTATATTTTCTTGTCTAAATTCTTCTAATTAAAATTCTAATTAAAATCTTCTAATTAAAATTTATTATTATATCTATACACATATATTTGTATAATAATAATTACTTTCATTTCTATATTTGTATTTTTCTATTTCATTAATTAATTTTATTTAAAATAAAAAACGTTACAAAAATAAATATTCATATTAAAAAAATACATATTCATTCAGATATAATATTAAAAAGTTTTATTAAATCAATTAAATCAGTTTAGTTCACTTATATCAGAAAAAAACAAATTTTATATTTAATTATATACTATGATATTTATAATATTATTTAAAGATTCACTAATGAATAAATAATTATTGCTAAATTTATACTAAAAATATAATGAATATAAAAATATTAAAGATATATCCACTTCAGAATTATGTATAATATATATTATCATAAAATAAAAAGAAAATATAAGTATCCTAATGAAAGCAAATATTTTTATTATGGTTTAATTTTTTAATTATATTTAATTAGTTCTAGTTCTTAATCTTCATAATAATTGTTTAACTAATCTAAGTTATTTATATGTTTAAATAGATATTGTTTTTTCTTATATTTTATAGCAATATATGAATATTGAATGTAATATAGAATCATAAATATGATTAAATAGATGAAACAAAAATAAAAAAAAATTCAAATGAAATTAAATGAAATAAATTATTTGTCGAGAAAAAGGAAAAAAAAAAACAATGAATATATTATGAAGCTGTATTAAATGACAATTTTATCTATAGATATTTATAATTAAACGATTGCGTACATTTGATAGTATTATAAAAATAGCGAAGTAACTGCGCATAATGGTGTCGTAATGATACAAGTTATAAAAATCCAATAAATTATACGATAGATTCCTTTGATTTTCTTTTAAAAATTATTTAGAAATTGATCAAGCATTCTTAGTTTATAATATCAAAGACTCTTTAATATTATATAAAAAAAAAGATAATAATAATAAAAATAATTTAAAATAATTTTCATTCTACTAATGAAGAAATTGATATTATTTAAAAAATTTAATGTTATAATACATATTATAACATTAAAGAAAACATATAAGAAAATCCAATACATTTATAATGTATATATTGCATTTTATATATTTTTATTATCTTAATAATTATTTTATTTTTAATGTAACATTTTTTATTAATTTTTTATTATTTTGATTTTGGAAAGATATATATATTTTAATTTTATTAATTGAAATTTTTAAATATGTTTATTAGATATCTAATATCTCATATCATAATAAATTAAGTTTAATTCAAAATCTTTCTTTTTAATTTTTAAATCTTCTATGTTGTATGATTTTTAATTATAACTTTTTAAAGAAGAATATTTCTTATTATGTTGCATTTACAATAATTTTAGTTTATATTTATTATTATAATTAAAGGAATCAATTTCCTTTATTTAATTTTCTTTAATCTATTTACAAAAAAATTTTTTTCTACTTTTTTAAACATTATTTAAATGTTTATATTTGTATATTAGAATCATCTTATACATATAATATACGTGCTGTTTTTATTATTGGATTATAATATATTCTACAATTTCATAAGGGAATTTTCTATCAAAAAACTTTAAAAAATCGAAATCTTTAATTTCGCTAAATCTATATATTTTTAAAACGAAGGTCAAATTAGTAATATTTGTGCCTTTAACATAATAAGAAAAGGTGAAAGGTGAATTTATCGTGAAACGATGCGATTTTTGGCAGAAGGAGAGCCACTATAAAATTCGAAACGATTCTTAGTATGGATATCAGTCTTTCAATCGAGACTAGTCATCTACAGATCTACCTCCAAAATGAAAACCGTATGTATCACAAAAATTGATGTAGAAATATAATTTCAAGAAAATGATTAAGAAATGATAAAACTTTTTAATCTTTTTTTTGTCATTATCAATTTTATATATTGTATATCAATTTTGATTATAATTTATTATGCACTATTCTTTTTTATTTTATATTTATAACTATGTAAAAATAAAATGTAATTATAATAATAAAATAATAATCATGCATATTTATTATAAAATGAATTAAAAATAAATTAATTATATTTAATTTATTAACTTTCGAATTCAATTTAATTATTGTAATAAATTTTATTATTTATATGGACATTTTAAAAAATAATAAATATGTTTAATTACTTTTAGATTGTTGTTATTTTTGTTCTGGTTGTCGTTGTTTCCGCTGCGCCTCAAGAAATAGTCCTTGTTAAAGAAACTCCTTCTGACAATGTTGGACTTGGTGGTTATAATTATGGTTTCCAACTTTCCGACGGTCAAGTTAAACAGGAATCTGCAGAAGTGATCGAAGGAGGAACTGATAGTCAATTCTTACGAGTTCGAGGTACCTTCTCTTTTGTTGATCCACAAACTAATGTTGCATATACTGTAAATTATGTTGCCGATGACACTGGTTTCCATCCACAAGGAGAACATCTTCCATAAGTTTAAATTTTTCAAATATTTGATATAGAATATTCATTAATTGCTAATAATATAATATAATATAATATAATATTTTCCATTGATTGAAAATTTGATTGTTTTAAATCTTGTTTGTTTTTGAAATCAATATTATATATAGAATATATATACACTTACTTGGTTATTTGTAAAATAGTGCAAACTTCTATTTTTTATTTTTTATTTTATAAAATAATTATGTTAAATAAATTTGTAAAATAATTATGTTAAATAAATATCGTGTTTATGTTAAATAAATTGTTAAATAAATTGTTTAATAAATAATTATTAAAGATACCTATTTTAATTTTTAATATATATAATTGCTATAGGAATATAATTGTCTTGTTTATTTTTCACATCGATTTTCTTAACTTATTTTGTTGT